TGGGGGGGGGGGGGTTACTATTTAGGATAAAAATAGGTATGACTTTATTTTGACAATTGGTCCAGACTAATCAGGTCTTTGTGGGAAATAGAAACTTTTTAAAACTGAATAGTAAGGTTAGGACTAGTCCAAGTGAAGTCCAATCTTTATTTTTATTTTTTTTTAAATCTTTATAAAATCATTTTCTGATTTGTAGAAAGTATTTATACAACATATACATTTTTCACTGATGAAGAAATTAGATAAGACGATAAAATCAACAAAAGTTCTAAAATTTTATTTGCATGCACTCTACAATGTTAATGGCACAATTACAATGTAGTATTTGTACATACTCCCTCCATCCATAAATAAGGTTTTCGTTGTGCAACACGATTTTGACTAAAGTTATTTTCAAATCATTTTATATGAAAACAAATATGGAATTACAAAAATAAAAATTCTCTATTTAAAAACTACATGAAAGGATGTACAAAGCTGAGAGTTACATGACTATATTATTTTATCAAACAGGAAACGAAAATAGGCTAACAAAGTGAATAAAGTTTGACCCAATGAATAGTGAACGGGAACTTTATTGTTCGAGGAAGTGCGTATTATTCTTAATCTAATGACGCACAACGAGTCAATATCCCCTCTACGCTTCGAGAACCTCGGTAAACTTCACCATGACTCCAATCCTAAATGGTTTGCTCTTCACCAAAAATGAGTGGGCATACAAAGGGAATTTTGTCAAAAAAGTAGAGAATGTAAGTGAGAGAGGGCCTCGGGATTCAGGGGAAATGTTAGTGTCAGGGAAACATGTGAAAACTATTGAATTTAATTGAATTTTACAATAGCCTGTGATTAATTTATCAGCTTTTTGAATGTTTGTGTAGGCATTTATATGCAGAGCTTGAAAGAATCCGAGGAAGAGGATATGTACAAAAACGCAACTAAGATCCATGTAATAAGAAATAAATTACTGAAAAAAATTAATAGTTATATAAACATTTTTTAAAAAGATTTAAAACAATAACAATCACGTGCAATTTTCAAATTTATTTTTGTCGCTCTAGAGTTCCGCTTGAGTAGCCAAATTATATCGTACATCGGGATGTTGCCTATTTTTATGTACATATCCAATGAGTATCATAAACTCGTAAATATAGAAAGGCGGAAAGGCATGATAAGAGATAGAAGAGCTTGTTCTCTCCACCTGATTTGATTGGAATAAACTATAATCTAAATATAATTATGTTCAAAGGAATATTTGCACCGAATAGTACTAAAACTTAAGTCATTTCCCTAAATAGCACTTAAGCTGTTTTATTCCCTAAATGACACTTAATAATGTTTAGAAGCAGGAATAATATCTAATGATGACGAACATTAACTTGAATAATGACTAAGGGATAATCACCAAAAGTGCTACACTGAGAAAAAAAACACATATGATGTTATTTAGGGAAAACCATTATGTTTTAGTGTTATTTAAGTAAATTCCCCTATGTTCAAAACTATATCTGATCTAATCTGGTCGGATCCGATCTGAACTGATTCCAATAAAAAGAGTAATAAGTAACCAGAATAAGTTGACGAGAACAGGACCGAAATGCCCCTAACATGGTCCCACTTAAATTCTCTTTACATACCCAAGAATCACAAGGTGTGAGCGTAAACCCCATGCAAATCTTCAAACAGCAACGGTCGATCACATGGGCGCTAAAACCATTATACACAAACGTGACAACATTTATCAAGAGGCTCTTTTGCATTATAACAGGCTCTCCTCATCCATCACTCCCAGAATTCTTCCCACCTCCAAACATTAACGATGGACAACTACAGGCGGAACCCGCTGAAGCCGTGGAAGAAAGGCCCGGCGAGAGGGAAGGGCGGGCCCCAGAACGCGATGTGCGAATACAGAGGGGTTCGGCAGCGGACGTGGGGGAAATGGGTGGCGGAGATCCGGGAGCCTAAGAAGAGGACGAGAATGTGGCTGGGGTCTTTCGCCACGGCTGAGGAGGCCGCTATGGCATATGATGAAGCCGCTAGGAGACTCTATGGACCGGACGCTTACCTAAACCTCCCTCACTTGAGGTCCTGCAACTACACCAACAACCCCCTAAACAGATCCCACAATAATAAGGTCAAGAAATGGTTACCTTCCGCCAGCAACAACTTGATTTCTCTGTTCCCCGCTGCCAGGCTGCTCAACCTAAACGTGCAACCGAACGTGCGTGTCGTTCACCAAAGGCTTCAAGAGCTGAAGAAAGCGGAAAAAGCGTCTTCGTCCAGCTCATCCTCTCCCCGATGTGACCCCACCGTCGTACAAACCTGCTTGGTTAATGATCAAGAAACTACAGGTATATATGTTTGGATCTTGGAAAATAATAGGGAAAAGTAAAAGGAAGTGTGCACAAATGCTACATTTTCTTATACTACGTATTTGCTTTCAACCTGGAAAAAACACAAGGAAACGAAAAAATTTACCCCAGGGCCTCAAAGGCTCCGTCCCGCCCTTTGCGGTGTGGGCGGTACGTAGACCCCTATGTTTAAAACATAGAGCGGCGGTTCCCGGATGACACATGATGAGCGCTGAAAGTTGCATTGACTAACTTCTACTTGACCATTAAAGAAGCGCGGACAACTTAAAGAGTCATTTTGCTCTATTTTATCAACACCCAGAAGCCAAAAAAAACAGTGATTCTTGGCTCCATTGGAGATGATGGAAAAAGTTTACACACTCAGATTTTTTTGGGTGTTATTATCAAGAAATAAAAATAAATAAAACGAGGCCAAACAAATATCTAAAACAAATCTATTGAGTTTGATTATACATTTCTTTGTCACTGAAATTTGCTCTCTTTCTGATTTTTCTCTTAATTTTCTTTCCCTAGTACTATCCGAGTTCCAAAAGGACCCCAAGGAAAAGGAACCAGAGAAGCCTCAGATTGATCTAAACGAGTTCCTCCAGCAGATGGGAATAGTTCAAAAAGATGATAACTGCCGGTCAGATGTGGATCACTTGTTTAGTTATTTCCCGGAGCCGGAAGCTATGTTTGGAGACAAAACCTACAGATGGGACAGACCGGAAGCGATACCAGGAATAGAAAATAATCAAACAGTTGATTGTGCAGGTAGGGGTGTAAACGGATTTTAATCGGATCAGATGTGCCATTACCAAATCCGCATCCGTTTATTTTTGTCGGATATCGAATTCGGATACGGATCTAGACGGATATTGAAAAATCAAAACCGTATCCGCATCCGTCGGATATCGGTCGGATATCGGATATATCCGTATCCGTTTCCAATTTTTAAAACTAAATTAAACAATACTTGAATTTTCAATTAAACTAAATTAAAATATTATTAAATCAACTATAATTTTTATGGGANATATAACGGATCGGATATACGGATAAACGGGTATTTAAACGGATGTCAATGCGGAGCGGATTATAAACGGATCGGATGTATGATTACCAAATCCGTATCCGTTTAGCAATCGAATATCCTTAATCGGATACGGATAATAACCGCTTTTAACGGATGCGGATATTTTCCATATAAACGGATACGGATGCGGACGGTAATCGAATTTTCGGTTATCCGTTTACAGCCCTATGTGCAGGCAGCTTATACGATATCAGTGATGACCTCGGTTTCCCCACAAACATATGGAACTTCTAAAATTGGGTGGATGTGTTAGTTAACTGAGGGTCTGTTTAGTACACGGAATTGATGGAATAGGGATTGAATTGGAAATTGAAATTCTATGGAGTCGATTATGATGGAATTATATTCTCTAATCTTAATTCATTTTTGGCACTACCAATTCCAAATCCACATGATTTTGTGCTATCAAACAACAGAATTGGATTTGTTGTCTCCAATTCCATTTTTTGAATTCCGTGTACGAAACCGAGCCTCAATCTAAATTTTCTACCTGTTGCATGTCTATGCAGTTCACAAGCCACTTACTACATATGGAGTACCTTTTTTGTTAAGAGGCACTGTTTTTTTCAAAAGGACAAACCCATTTCTTTTGGCATTTCAACTTCAGGCTGTTTTAAAAGGTGATTAGATCATTAGATGAATACCATTTGTCAGATAGATGTTCGATCAATGGTGAAGAAATCATGTACTTACAATATCATTACAGTGGACGAAACTGATTGGCGGTGAATCCGGTGATCCTTCGTCAACAGTCTATACAGGTCAAGTACGTCTAGATCTGCATAACTGAAAAATGTAGTATTATTGGAGAATGAATGATCGAATTGTAGCTGGACTGGTTGAAAGAAAGCTACCTGCCAAGAATTCTGACTTTCAACTGGGTTTCGATTCTATAATTCGATAAAGAAATAGACGCTCTCACGCACAAAGGCTTTTACGAGTTCAAGTGAAGTTATGCCTATTTTTCCAGCATTGAACAAACAATATTATTTACTCTTAAATGAAATGCATTGATAATCATCAGTTCAAATTTTGCATCAAAATGATGGCATTGATAAATAGATCAGCATCATAAAATAATGAATTACATATACATGAAGCTACTCGAGTTCAAAGCATGGTAAAATTATTAAGTGTTTCATTCATGCACATATTCTGAGGCACTTAAATATTTTCCAAGCTCCTCAAAGTACTCAACCAAATGCTTCGAGGACACATCACTGCTGGCAGCCTGAGTGTCGCAGACAAGACAGCACCATCTTCTTGCTCGTGTCACAGCAACATTCATTCTCCTGCAATCACTCAGAAATCCAACCTGAAGATGAAAACATTTATCAGGCTAGTGCTTTAAGCATATCATATATTCTTGTATATACCTGTAGCATCACTAGCATGTATTCCAGGGCGTATATGATTTTTAAAAATTTCAAGGACCCATTTGCAATTTTTAAATACCCAGATGCTTGTATCCCGAGTAACATATAACCCCTTTGATTATAGATGGTTGCAGAGTTTCCAGTTTATAAAATAGGAAAACTAAAAAACTTGTATAATTATTTTTCTTTGCCAAAAAAATGTCAAAACCCCAAGATTTGAAACTCTTATAATTTTTAAAATTTACAGTTTCACCCATGTGCCAATATCATATATTTCTGAAATTTCAACATATCCATATTTGTGCTACATCGGCTAGTGAAATAGCAAATAAGATTCCTCCAGGAGAAGCACAAAGGATCATGAATACCTCTTGCTGTGAGTTTGACCGCACCATTGAAATGATGATGGCTTCTTTCTCTAAACCTTGGAAACCATCAATAGTTGAAATCTACATATCTTTTACTTGTCTTCCTTGCTTCTTAACACTTTCAACAGCAGAACCTTACTCAACAACGCACACTCTGAAAAACTTACAATTTGCCGGGAGCCCCTACTACCTATTTGGGAATGTCTTATACTTGCTACTTATCTGGTAAAACAAGTGTCCCAAACAAGTTGAGGACATCAAATGAAGTATTTTCCAACTTGTGGGTCAATGCGCCAGTCAAGGTTGTTAATACGGAATCGCGAACAATGAAAATTACACCTGCACAAAAAAATCTTTATCTAAAAAAGGAAAATGAGGAATAGATTTTGGGACAGAGGAGGTAATGTTCCAAAATATTAGAGAAAAATTCAAGTTGGTTTGACCAGTTAATACTCACAAGGACAGTATGACTAAACATATGGATCAGGAAGTATTTTGCTATTTTCCATGATTTATGTAATCAATTATTTGACTTAGAAGAATATGAATGCCAATGATTTCACAACATTGAAAGTCATAGAATTGAGATTTCTATTTTCAAAATAATTATAAGAGAATATTTTCTGACATCAATCATAGAGCATTAAAAGGTAGTATCTACGATACTAAAGTGTGACTAAGTCTTCCTAATAATCTCATGATAATGGCCTCATGCTCCTAGAATTGCTAGCTTTACAACTTTATTCCTCACTATCACAAGGCAGACCATTTTTTGCAAAATTTATAGATTAACTACTTATGCTTTAGTGCAAATTTTACCTTCATCTCTTTGTGTATATCATTCGCAAGTGCACTGTTATCACCACGAAGAACCTACAAGAGACGCATTCCACGGAAAAGAAATTACTCAGTACACAAAAATAGCTTGACGGGAAAAAAGTGATGCATAAGTATTATACTATGTTTCTCCAAGGGGAACTCTCTAACAAAGAATAGCACCAATCTAGGGCAACTGAAATCCGCAAACATGATTTCAAATTTTCCGAGAGTTCCTTATATAACACACTCATTGCACTTTGGCAGGAAAAATATATTGTTGTTTAAATTGGGTCTACGTATTGTGTATGATGTACCCCTGGATGGCTCCATGCTACCATTTCTCACTTTAAATGAATTCAAGAAAATCAAGGCTTTTATGTCTAGTTGTTATGATCCATATTGGGTTGAATTTATTCTTCCAAAGATAATAAAAACCCAAATCAAGCGCGTGTTTTGCTGATATCATGGCTTATATGCAAGGATAAACTGCAAACTAAAAAAAAGGCTTAGTAAATTCCTCACCATTGATAACCTTTGTATACTCTGTAAATTTAAGGATGAAGATTACCAGCATCTTGTTTGTAGATGTTCTTATACCAAGAAAATCTACTTGAAGATCCATGATTGGATTGAATATAAATTTGAGGGAGATTCGGTGGATGACATGATTGTGAATTTGCCACTTATGTCTACTCCATTTGGAGAGTCAGGAATCACACATGCTGCACAAGAGCACTCTCACCTCAAAGGAAGATACTGTCCAATGGATTAAATTACTATGCACCTATATGAATGCTAGAGGCTAGAGGAAGTGGTATTACTTCTTTTTTTCTCTAATATGGACAATATCATCTGTCTGCATGATGCCATTATTGTAATACGCTTTTCCTCTATCCTATAAGAAGATTCTACATTTGCTTTTTAGTCTTAACCAAAGTAAAGATTGATGACATTCATACATAATTCCATATAATATAGTGGAAAGGCGGAGGTACTGACATTCTAAACACTAAATCCATGGTTGAGTAAAGAATCAAAAGCTAGAATTGATAATATATGAAGCAAAATGCCAGAGAAAAAATTGAGTTGATATGGGGAACAAAGCTTTGTGTATAACTTAAATCATCTATACAATTAGATACGGAGTAAGAAACGAGATCCAAGCTATACTTGAGTTCCAGAAAAAAAACATGACATGACAATAGAAAAAAGGTGGCCAACTCAATAAGGGGTAATCTTACACCAACTCAATTGGTGTAAGATCGTTACACCAACTCAATTGGAGCACCTATGTGGCTATGTTACACCACCTCAATGGTGAGAAATGAAATTGGCAGAGGTAAAGTGAAGGGATAAACCAAGTTGGTGTTAAGAGATATAACACACTCTTATCTTAACTTGGGGTTTGAATCTAGAATTCAATCAAGATATGACACACTTAATTAAATATCTAGAACCTAAAACTCACACTTAAGAGAACCACTCTTAAGATATAGAATTAGGAATTTGGCTAAAATAGCATCACACTATTTTAAGAGAATACTCAAAAGAGTAAACAAGGTTTTTGAATTAAAATATGCTGCTTACAATGGCCATAAGGCCGAGCTATATATGCACACTACAAAGGGGAAAGAATACATTAATAATGAAAAAGAAAACAATAACAAAGAAGCTTCCTACTGCCTTCCCAAATCAGCATCCAAATGAGTGCATTAATGATAAGGATGAGGGTTTCCTTTGGCTGTTTTTTTGGGGTGTGCATGTCTGCCACATGTGAGGAAAGTCCAAGGCTGTGAAAAGCTTTACTTGGCCTATTTTGGAAGGGTCTATTTCGTCCATATGTAGCACAAATAAGTGGGAAACATTGTGGGGCTTAGTGGGATGTTATTTGGCTAAAAATGGGGCTGGTTTGTTCGGCCTCTAGTGAATGAAATCACAAGGAGATATTGG